TAACTGCAAATAGTTTGGCACTATGTGATTGTCTGCAATTACTGTAGGTTACCCCCATCCATATTTCAGTTCACTTCTAGAGTTGAAGTGCTATCCTTTATTGGCCAGTAAGTGGTATCACAATCTACAAACTTTCTGTATTAAACAATGGCTAACATGATACAAGTCTCTGCTATTCTTATGTTTGTTACAAAGCCTATGCTGGAAATTACTGTCAATTCTTACCACACAGCAGTAGGATTCTGGATATGCCCATCTAACAGAACCCCAATGGAAGTCTGCATAGCCCGCAGCTCAAGCTGGTCTGGCATTGCTGATGGAAATGTGGCACATTATACCTAAACCTGGATTACCATATTCTGTGATGTTGGAATAGAAACCCTGGGCCTGATAATCATCTACATTTGTAGAATGGCCAGTTCTGCCTCACAGGCTACACGGTATGACACAGCAGTGAGAGATATTTATAGACGAGTTCTATACAGAACAGCATTGAAAATGTTGCAAGTTTTCATTCTTGTATTACAACAAAGCCGTGTTATTTCCTCAGGGCAATTCCATCTTTTTTTTTTTATAGATATGGTAAATATTACTGAAGTCATCAGATGGTCTGATTGTACATAATACAATTTCTTGACACGGCTTCCTGCACAGAACTATGAAATGGTCATATATATTTTAAATACCTTTTATCAGTGACACCTGTTAATGTTTCTATAGTGAGGCTGATAGGAAGGTTTACTTTTCATTACCAAGAACTGCAATACATGTTTACAATGTTCTTTGAAGCCGTAAAGTTCATTTACTGAGGAATTAACACTAGGATGGTAAGTTTTAATGTTCAACACCCTAATACCCGATTGAACCATCTCATTGTATCACTGCAATTCAGACAGGCTTCAAATACAGTAATCAATTTGCTGATCTTTTACATTATTTTAAATAAGTGCAGCAGTAATGAGTAAAACACTCTGTGTTGGCAGTACATAGTAGAGTCAGACCGCTGCTTTCATACACAACACAGCAGCATGGCTCTCCAGAGATCCGACACGTCTCCTGAACACTACTCCGATCAGTGCTGCTCAAGGAGCGGCGTTAGGGGCCCTGCCACACCATCAGTGTGTTCCAGTGCATTCGGCCTCTGGAATGCACTGGAACGCAACTCGGCCGGTTCACTTTGTTTTGGGGTGAGAGGGGGCATGGCGGTGCATTGAACTCAATGGCACTGCACCCGAACGCGTGGCACATTAGTTCCTGCGTTCCTGTCCCGTTTAGCATGTCCCTGGGCATGCTAAACTTTTCTTTTTCTAATAGAGATGGTAAGTTTAACTGCTGCTTTGCCTCCTTTGGATGACATTTCTGATCACATCCTCTTCTCTCTGACATCAGTCAAACAGACAAGAGTGGGGAAATTTTCCTTCACTTTCCATTCTGAAATCTGCCACACAGAGAGATAAGATAAATCTAGCCAATGGAGACAGAGGCAGCATGACAAAGATTCGAATAATTATCCATGATATCCATAAAAAAAAAAAGTGAACTCTGAGGGAAATTCTGAAACTAGCCAGAGTTCTTCTGCGGGACCAGAGGTAAGATAAGTAAAACTGCTTTTTAATGGCACCATAGACAAAAAAAAATATGGCGTTTGCCATTGCAATGTGGCTTCCTGTCCTTTTTTTAAATTTTCCATCAGAGTTCAGCTTCAACCTAAATGAGTAAACAATGCAGAATTATAGCTTTAAGTGAATAAAAAAAAAATAGGCAATTACAAAGGGCATGTCTGATAACTGAAGGAAACCGTGGCTAGTGGTGTGATCAGATTACAGTACAATTATTTTTCACAGCAAGATACATCATTCTAGACGCGGCACCTAGATAGGATGGTGATTTTATTTTTTTTGGCAAACCACAATAGCTGTGTTTAAATCTGAGGTAGAAAGCTAAAGTTTTGGATCCAAAAAAGGTCCTTGGGGTGAAAAAAAGAAGTACATTAATAAACAACATAAAAGAATAAAGCTGTACAAACAAAAAGTAATAAATAGAGAAGTAGAATTTTGCATTTTAAGATTCTGATTCTGTACAAAGGTTTTATAATTCCAGTGCTAAAAGAAAAACATGGCATACAGCTTATCTATAAAATACTAAAAAAAAAACAAAAAGCAGAAAACCGCACAAGGGCCATGTTTATTAAAGTGTCTGAAGGAAGGCTTCATTCAGTCTGTTTCACTCATATCAACTATCCAGATTCTTCTTTTTCTCTGCCATACTCTTCAGGGAATGAGGAGAATCTTGTTACTATGGGTAGTGCGGACTGTCAAAAAAATATACACTCGTAGGCCAATTCAAGCAAAAGCATAAAATGGATACAAGGAAGGTGATGCCCATAGCAACCATACTATTTTTTAAATTTTAATTTACCAAAGAAAAAGGAACTTAATACCTTGCTACGGATAAAACCTTCACTTTCCATTCTTCCAGATACTTTACACCAGGCCCAGTGTTCAATAAATCAACACTTGTTTCTAAGCCTATGAAGAAGAGGGCACATACATATTCTTGTCCTTCTCCGATAAAGACTTTGCATTGACTGATTTTGTTATATGAAATATTATAAGAGATTCATTCCAAATCCAAGCAAAGCATTTTTTGTTTTTGTTTTGAATACAGTGGGGAAAGATCAGAACCTTTATCAGGCAGAACCTTTATCAGGTTTCAACTGTTGTCTGTACCCCCATTGGAGATGCTTCCACTTGGTTTGTATCCCTGTAACACCAGGACATGAAATGAGGACAATGGCGGTCACTGGCACAGGGAAGGCACAGACAATAATAAAAACATCACAGTGGGGTAACTTTTCTCCATTCTACTACAAACTATTTTTTGTTTGCGGCCATTGTAGAGATTTCCCATCACTTTCTGTCGCTCTGGGCCCCTGTCACTAGAACAGGAAATGAGTGGAAACCTCAAAGGGGACACAGACAACCAGGAAACCTTCACTGAAGCATTAAACCTTCTCCACTGTATCCAATAACAAATCAAAGTTTTGGCTGGAATTGGTCTTTTAGGACAAGTATGGATTAAATCTAAGCGATGCTGATTGCTCCTTCAATACCACATTCAGAGTATTCTGTTCAAGAAAAAGCTACATACTTTCCCATCTTTATCTATAACACATATGTTTATGTGAGCCACAACAAACCTGCAAGTAAAGTGTTTATACAGAATAAAAGTAGTATATTATTGTGCAGAGCTAAAGCCATGTAAAAAATGTAATCACAACACATCTTCCCCCGCCACACACCATAACACATGGCAATGCACCTTATTTACAAAAAAAGGTTGTGTCTGATTTTAGACATGCATTGGCAGCCCCTTCAAAACGAAAGGGCTGCCTTTATCCGACGCACATTAACGTGCAACATAACAAGCATTAACGCACCGCACAAGTGTAAATGTTCCCTTAAAGAATTTAAAGAAGCACTCCAGGCAGAAACAAAATTAACCCAACAGTGGGGCTACCCCCACGCTGCAAGCGTTGAGTGCTCGTTTTTTTTTTTAGGGTGTAAAATAAAAAAGGTATACTTGCCCAAAAGAGCTGCTAGACTGATCCCTGCAGCTTCTCTTCCCCTCCACTCCGGTGGTGGAATGTCCCTCAGCATTCTCACTTTCAATACACTGTATTGGATGTGATGACTCATGGGTCAGTAGACTCCTGGAGTGAAGGGAGAGAGAGGGTGCAGGAACCAGTCTAGCAGCCAAGCTGGTAAGAGGTTTGGGTGAGTATAACTTTTTAATTGTACACCCTAGACCAAAACAGGTAGTTAACCCTTGCAGTGTGTGTGTGTGTGTGTGTGTGGGGGGGGGTAGCCCAACTGCAAGGGTTAATTTTGTTTCTGCCTAGAGTTTGTCTTTAAATATTATTGGAGTACATCTTACTTGCTGTAGTTCTGCACAACCGTATGCAGAGTGGCTGTAATTTTCAACATTATCACTTCTCTGTCGCTCTTCTGAAGCCGTTAAACATACCATACCCTCTTGAAACATAATATTAACCTTAGCCAAATAAAATGGTGCAGGGCAGCTATATATAAAACGATCTTTAAGATGTCTCCAAGCAGAGAGCATCCATGATAGAAATGTTTTCTAACAGCATAAAGTGGGATTTATGAGTCTGATGAGGTATGTGGATTAAGCTAATACATTTGTATATAGGAAGCCATGTGCAAACAAATCAATTACGTTATTTTTGGGGCACGTCATAGGGACTTGTATAACTGCAAGGCCTCGGAGCCCTTCTGCCAATGGTTTCCAATATTTCAGTGTGATTTATTATACATTAATACATATTATAGGTATGTAGACATTTTTCTCAATTCTAAGAACATATTAGGCTGTGAAGTATTGCTCTGTTTTACGAAAATGGCTGAGATTTATGTGCTTAAATAAGAAAAATGGTCCATATTGCCAATACCATCCAGGTATATAACATCTGACATATGTTTTCTGAAGAAAGTGGGAAAATTAAATCATGGATTCATTTCTTATAAATTCAGCTGTAAATTGCAGGAAATAAACTAATCAATCCACTGTAATCACAAAAATGGAATCAAATCCAGGAATTTAACATCAGTGGAGTTATTCCATTCAGCCTTTACTATTTCTGGGGCCACAGATAGGCAGATTTCTCAGAGAATGACAGGCAGAGATATATCTGCTTATCCTCAGACGAGAAGCCTGAACATTGGGACTTACTGCGATGCGTGCTTAATGGTGAAAGCGGGCACATGTTGTACTTTGAAGAAAAGTAAAAGATGAAGCCCGCTTACACAATTTTATGCGTAGACTTGTGTAGCAAAATTAGCATAAAACAGAACTCACAGGCTTTAGTAATAGTAAACATATACCATTAACTATACCACTACATTTTGGAAATCTTCTGTGTGAACCAGGTCATGTAAATGAAACGCACCTGATCTGATTTGACTGAAATGTTACCTAATACCTTGTGTCTTCCTACTCCTACTGCTTTAGATCAATTGCATTGCTTTGTTGAGTTTTAACACCTTACGATGACCCATTTAATAGCCACAGCATATCTTCTTATTAATAACACTGTTATTTCAGAGAATTGTTTGTGGTTATCTGTATCTGGTCCCACAAGACCATAAAACATATTCTCCAAATGGTACCACCTTGTTTAAGCTTCACTGGCATTTTCTAGTCATGGAAACTATAGCCCCAATGAAAACCTGTCAAGCTGTGTTTATAATACCATTTCACCTCAGAAACAAATCTTAAGGTGACCTTGGTCAAACATTGTTTGGTTAAATAACCACTGACAAATAAGGTCCTTATCCAAAAATTGGTATCGATATTAGATTATGGCCATCATGGTGCCTCCAAGCTGTTTGGTTTGGTCACCTCTACCATTATTAGACTGTTGGGATCCATGGAAAGCTCAGGATGTTGTGGTTGTTGATGGTGGTAAAGTGTAGCCTGCATATCCACGTTGATACAGAAAAGTCCAGGTATCAGTTGCCTCTGATATTCCTCCCATTTCTGCACCATGTCCATTAAGGAGTTGCTGCTCCTAATCCACCTGGGCAAAGACTCACTGGCTCCAAGGGCTAGGGGAATAGGAAGGCTCTGAGATCTCCTGAGCTCCAAATGGTAGTAGAGCCTATAACAGAAGGTGAGATAGTAAGAGAATACAAAATTGCATTTCCCCTAAACATTGTAGATAAAACATGATGTTTTTCAATGAGGGCAGATCAAATGTATAAGCTGTTTGCAATCTCAAAATAAACCTACTACTAGCATTTCATTCTCTTCTCTACTTTGCTCTTCCTTTTTCCTATTGCGATTCTTGCATTATTACTTCTTAATGCTTTTCCATAATAACATTCTAATCTATGCTTTTTTTTACTTTTAATAAGAAGAAATGACGTTATAAAGAAGTATGTCAACATTCTACCTTTTCCAATACGAAAGCAGGTCAGCAAGAGGTACACTGAAAGAAAGGAACACTAAACTCGGAAGGGAAATCTTAAAAATGCATTCAAGTACCTTAATTATTTTCCAAAATGTATCTTATTTGTGGATCACTCGGCAGTAGATCCCCAAATCATCTCTAAATTGGTAATGACACTGTCCTTCCTTCTGGAGGGTGGCTACTTTTGTTCCCCATGGTCCCTGTGTGTGTTGTAAAGCAGCCACCGCTCCAAACTCACTCCCATGATAGACTACAATCTCATCATTAGTTAGTTGATTTGTATTGAAGTTATAGTCTTGCACGGGAGCGAGCTAGGAGCGGCGGCTACTTTACAACACACACAGGGATTATGGGGAACAAAAGTACCCAACCTCCAGAAGGAAGGACAGTGTCAGCACCAACTCAGAGGTGATTTGAGGATCTACAGCCAAGTGATGCACACATAAGGTACAGCATTGTTTATAGGTAAGGCACTTGAATACACTTTTTTTTTTTTAACAAATTCATTTTTATTGAAAAAAAAATTCAGTACAACATAGAACAGTGGCAGTGAAAGGAAGGAATACAATCAAAGTAATAATCCAAATATTCCATCCGAATATAAACCAGTAGCATGGAAGCACAAAAGGTCTTGGCATGCAGATTTTTCAAAAGAAGCATATGTTTCACCACAAGAAGTAATTCCTTTTAACCGAGCATTAACCAAGAAAAGGAAAAGAGTAGAGAAGAATAAGTAAAGGTTAATACACTTTTAAGATTTAACTCCTGAGTTTAGTGCCACTTAAAAAAGTCAATGAACTGTGAACCATCTCAGAAGCTTCTCAAATGAATGTCAAATGCAATGCACTGAAAAGCATGCTGCATTTGCACAAACTCTAAGGGGCTTATTAATCAGAAATAGTAAGCAGGAGGGGTGTGTGATAACCCACAGCAACCATACAAAATACAGTGTTCATTAGTGTGCTCACTCTCATCTACTGAAAGGTGATTTTTGATTGTTTGTGATGGCTTTCTGCACATCATTGCTTTCTGCCCTACATAAGAACAGTCTTTGCACTGTCCTAAAACCAATAAACATTTTATACAATGTTGATCAGATGAAAAATTTAGAGTCTGTACTATGGGCCCAAAATAAAATTGCATTCAAAATACAAAGAAATGGTTGAACATGTTTTGTTAATAATTGTTTAACATTATTTGTTTATATCCTGATTTGATACAAAAATCTACACGGACTTCAGTCTGGGTTACAGAAAATAAATATTTAATTTGAGTTGGCCTTAGGGCAGTCCATCTGGTCACCGGAACATTGTCAACATCAGGTCCTAAAAAAAACTGTGCATTTGGCTTATTCCACATGTAAATCCCTCTGCAGCAGTTGACGTAGGCACTGTAATTATATTAGATCCTTGTGCCTTTGATCGTTTCCCTGCCACATGAAACCTGGATTTATGGTTTTATAATCTCACTGAAAATAACAATCCTCCTAATTGAGATTAATTTCAGTAAGATTAAATTGACATTAAAGTCTTAAATGTCATGTCATCCCCCCCCCCCCAATGGTGGTGTAAAGACCTACCTTAAATGATGCCTCTTGATCAGATCATCTTCTTCTTCTTTCCAGTAGTTTTCAGGGGTCCCTCCTGCGCTGGTGCAGCTCTCTGATCCAGTGCTGTCTCCTGTCTCTTCCTTTCCCACAGAGTCTGTGAGGATGCACGCTGCCTGCATTCACTTACCTTGTGTCTCTCCTCTTCTCCCATCCGAAGATCTGACTGCACACGCGCCTGCCTCATGACCCTCTGCAGTCGCCAGAAAACTTTCAGATCTTCGGGCGGGAGCGCGCGGTAGAGACAGAGGTGAGTTTGAACCCTTTTGTTTAAAATGTTTTTGTATATATCTACTGCTTGCTAGCAGTAGACATTTGCAAAAATATGCAAGGCTTTAACAATCCTTTAAGCTGAACATTCTAATACTTGGTTGATTCCTGCACATTGTACAACGCAAAAAGTTGTGTTTCTCATACTAGTAGTTCATGGACAAAATAGTCTTTCATCATTATAAACAGAGAGGTGATGTAACCTTAGATGAAAGATTATCACATAATTGCAATGAACATTGGGGCGAGCGCATGCGCATTTCAGATATTCGGACGAGAGACGAGGAGAGACACAGGGTAAGTATATGGAGCAGCGTGCACCCGCACAGACTCCGTGGGACATGGGAGAAGAGGAGGACAGAGGGGTCAGCGCTGGATTGGAGACACGCACCAGCGCTGGAGGGACAGCTAAAAATTACAGGAAAGAAGATCGGATCTTGTCTTGATTTGTATTGTGACTGTAATGCCTTCCCTATATTGTAAAGCGCTGCGCAAACTGTTGGCACTATATAAATCTTGTATAATAATAATTATTATTAAGAGACATCATTTAAGGTATATACTAAAACCTGATGAATGGGACCCTGCGTGGCCCCGAAATGTTGTTTTTTGACAGTCTGCATCAATAAAGAAGATGGATTATTGACACAAGACATATGTGTGCTGGTGACATTTACTATATGTTTGAAGATGCACGGCGCCATCAGTGGATACTACAGCATCCTCCTTTATACATAGGGGTTCCGGTAAGAAGTGCAGCAGTTCCTCTTGAAGATATAATTTAAGGCAAGTCCCTACAGCAGGATTGGGAAGGGGGGAAAAAAGTTTGACTTTAATGTAGTGCTGGTATTGATTAAAATTTTCGTGTTAGACTAATCAAATCTTTTTTTAATCGATTAATTATAAACGCACATATAGATCCAACTACATTGGCCTATACACATACAGCACAGCAATTAAGTAATACAATGAACTAGGATCACAGTAATCCAGCACGTTATTAATCTCACGTGCTCCACTCAATATGGCCGCCGCTTGAGTGGGGCAACTCAGAATAATAAACATGCTGGATTAGTGTGATCCTAGTTCATTTTATTACTTCATTGCTGTGCTGTATGTGTATAGGCCAATGCCTTGGCTGGCGCTCATGCAGAAAGTTTCCTGGGCAAACTCACCAGCCCAAGTGGCTCCGTCGGCTAACGTAGGGGGGAGGAGTCCCTTCGTTAGCCGATGGAGCCACTTGGGGAAGGAGTCTGGTGACGTCGATGTCTGTGACGTCACCGGATCGCTGACGGGACTCCCGGAAGCCGGCGGAGAGGTGAGTGTTTTCATTAGCGATCAAAATAATTTTAATCAATCAAAAAGGTTAACGATTAATCGAGAAATTAATCTTTAATTTCCACAGCCCTACTTTAATTTAATTTTCAATGCGAAAGGAAGGCACCTTCATTGTAGTGCACTGCAAAGCATGGTAATGCACTACTATGTGTTTTGGTGCACTGCATTACAAAAAATGATGCACGTTTGATTTTCGATCTCTCGTTGTTTGTTGGCAGGCCATTCAAATGAATGAGCTGCCTTAAGGCTACACAGGTTAATGCGTGTATGAACAACAAGGAATCAGAAGGTTATAAATGGACCTTTACATGAGCCCTCCCTAAAACCATAACACTGGCTCCCAGAACTAATCTTCCTGGTAACTTAACTCTCACACTAAAACCACCCTAATGCAAATCCCTTTGTTTGCATACAGACCTCTCCTTCACCACAATCCTCGACGCTGAATACAAACTGGGCCTAAGGATACTAGCATCAGACTCTAAATCAGAAGATCACAGACCCTGTATACAAATACCCTTCTTTACTGTCATAAGACTCTACTAATTAAGAAAAGGGGGCTCAACCAAATGATTAGTTATGGAGCACGGAAAAACAGAGCAGGTGACCTTGGGAATAGATATTTGTAGAAGAAGAAATCTAGTGGATGTGTTGGAAATGTTTAATATGTCTATAAATATCTGCAACAAATAAGACTTGTCACCTATTCACAGAAAAGAAAACATGTTTTTCCATGTGTACCTGTCAAGCTGATTAAATCAAGGACATCAGGTTGACGGGAACAAAGACTCTTGTGAACATTTCATAGGGGCCAGTCGGCCTAAGCATGGCTTGCCTTGTCTGTCTACCCTTGTCTGTTCAAAAAATGCTTAGTCTGAATACAAAGGCAACCTCCATCATGAACTGTCTAAGCAGAATGTTTGTGTACCTGGCTGATATGTGATTGCCCAGCTTCTTCTTTGCTCTTCTTAGAACATAGTGACATACTTTGCGTGTCTGATCTTTTATCCACCGAATATCCTCGGGGACGTCAGGAAGCCATTCGAAAAGTCTAAAACCAAAAAACAACATAGAGTGATTGAAGACAACTCTGTGATGTAATGTTTCCTCATGTGCTTCCCAACAGAATTCTCTCAGCTTTGAGCTCACTGTTCTACAGTGCAGTGCTTGTTCTTCCAGCAGCCACATTACATCAGTTGGACTAAACTAACTAATACAAAATCCTCTTTGTCATGGTCAGCTTGAATTCCAGAACAAAGGTTCACACTGATGTATATGCCAGTTTACTGATCTATACATCTAAATATTCCAAACCAACTTTCACATATAGGAAATGAGGGCAAGGTTTATATAGCTTTCATATGTATGTGAACAACGATGTAAACAATGATCCTTCCAAACACAGTTCATATCTATATCTAGTAAATATTTGATGTATTCTCATAAGAGAGTATAAGACATTTATCTTGTTATACCAAAAGGTGCTCCACAGCTCTTTACGGTTATCTTATTTCCGCCTTACAGTTTAACACTTACAAATCTCTATTGCAGCATGTCTTGTTACCTGCAGGGGTCAGTGTCCAACTACGGAAATACTCATATCACTGCAATTGCAAACAAGAGGCATAGCGGCAGCATAGACATGCAAGTATAATCTGGAAATTAGGGAATGTGGTAACCAAGTGGCAATGTAGAGTAGTGGTTCTTTAAGAAAGTACACAAAATACTAGGGCTATTCAGATACCAGGTACCGTACAAGTACAAGTACAGATACTTTTCCAGCTCCAAGACTAGACTAGAGAAAGACTAAAAAGTTGGGAGGCAGCTGTCATTTTTAAAGGAGGATACGGGGATCCTGGGACTTGTACATCCTTGTTTTAATGTATGATTTTTATTTTTATATATTTCTAATATATATGTATTTATTTATATATTAGGGATGCACCGTCCAAGTACTCACAAAAACAAGTACTTATACATTGTTTATTATTGTCATGTGACAGTTATTCTAAAACAATACAGACTAATGATTTCAGGACAGTGGTGGAGCGCCAAGGCCCAGTCACAGCTGCAACCTCTGTGATCCTGGTAGCTCTCATGAAAATGCCAAGTATCGGCACTGGTAGCTAAACTGGTATCTGGACATCCCCTACAAAATGCCATTGCAGTTACATTTGCTATCTAGACCATTATAGCCTGTTCAGCATATGTGATAATTTTTTTCAACAAAAGGTAACTCTTGCACTGTACTTTACAAATTCCAATCTGATAATTACCTGACAGTAAATGACACTGCAGATTCTAGAGGTAAAGTGTATGGCAGCATCAGTGCGGATGCTAAGCGTACAGGCAGCAGTTTGGATATTGATAGGAATACACTGCGCTTCTCTGTACAGGCCTCCAGTAGGGCTGAAAAGACAGGAAAAAAGTGTTAGTTCCCCATATGGAAGCAGAACGCACATCACATTTTTGCCTGACTGCTTTGCTTGGATCTCCATGATCATGTCCAGTCCCATATTGGAAGGACGGTATGCAGACAGTGCTGCCAGGATCAATAACAATAACAAATTCAAGGACTTCCTTAAAAATATCATCTTGATCCCATGATGTTGATGGGATTTTCCCAATTTTCTGCATACATGATAAATACAATGAAGAAGAATCCCCAGGTTTATAACTTGTCATGCCAGAAGTAACATATTGCTAATGCTTGAATCTATGGTACTGGTACTTTTTAGGGGTTTTGGAAAGGAGTGGATGTCTATCTTACCCTGATTGAGTCTCTGAGGAAGATGCTCAAACACATGTTCCTCGGCCTCCTCCACGGCAGAAATTTCTGCAGACTGCTCCTCAACCTCATTGTTCTCTTCATTTTGATTGGGTGGACTAGGAGCAGGTGGCAGGGCAAGGCATCTCATAGGCTGTGGTCGATTCAGTAGCCCTGTTGAAATAAGTCACAGTTAACTTTATTCTACACTTACACTGCCAACAAAATGTAAATCTCATTATAGGAGTAAAATCACATTATTAAAAATGATGACATACTTAAAAACAAAAAGACACAGAAAAAAAAATACTTATATTAATAATTTTTTCTTTTGATAACGTAATTATGGTACTTGTAACTGTCAAATAAATACATATACCTGTTTTGATATGTGACTTTTTGCAGATATTGTATGAAAATATGCTGATCTCTGAAAGCCCTTTCTGCAGGATAGCTTAAGCTCACATTGTCAAGCAACAGAGCATAACACCTGAAGAATAATTATTAAAAGAATAAACTGTTTTCTTTTCCCGTGCTTTAAAGTAAACCTGTGCCCAGAAGATGTACAGTAATGTTTTTACATATTCTTAACCACCTCCGGGCCGGCCGTAGTAAAAAAACGGCCGGCCCGAGCTCTCTAGATCTGAGCGGGCGTCTTTAGACGTCCAGATAAAGCACTTTAAAACAAGCTCTCATCCACCTCTGTAGCTACAGACATCGCCAAGAAATGTGTCTTCAAAGTTTACATCAGAGGCACCAATATCTTAATTTTTGTTCCTGTTACTTTCTATTATAAGAATGTTAGCACACATCACGTGGTTCTAACTGTTAGAAAGGAACTTAAATTCTATCTTTGAGAATGAATTACTTCACATTACAAGCAGCTGGATCACTTGCTTTAATCTGGCAATAAAAGTCAATAAAAGAGCTTTAAACTGAACTCCAGCTATGATGATTTATGTATACCTACATTGGTCCAGCTTGGCACAATGAAAGTATGCATTATATATCCCTGGTAGGGCTACAGGGATCCTGTACAAGGTAGTAGTAGCCAGGTCTTGAGTGACTTCCCCTCTGCTGCGGCGGTATATAGCCCTCCCCCTGCTCTCCTTTTTGGATACGCTCTCTTTTTAGGATACACCCAATCTCTGGAAATCCCTGCTGGGTTATTCGCGACAGACATTTTGGGGCAGAGCTCTGATGTCCCCTGAAATTAGACAGCGCACAATTGGGTCTGAGGAAGCAGGCCTTGTCTGCGAAACACGTCACTGCTACTTTGCAACAAATACCTCCCAATCATCTAAGATATGCTCTTCAATCTTTGTTATTTTGCTTGGCTTGGCGACATTTATTGCTACTAACACAAGTTATTATATGAAGGGAGTAGGCGCAAGATTATTGTGCATAGGAACATACTTGTTATTATGCATGGAGCCATGTATTTTATATGTTTTTAATGATGAGTCTTATTTTTAATATTTGTTAATGATGAATAAATATAAGATTATTTTTATAATTTCTAACCTATTCATTTAACTCTTTCTATTTCATGATATAATAGACACCTGGAAAATCCTCTATAAGTAGCATATTTGAGTCTCTTCTCAACAAATAGTTTCTAAGGAGGTGGTGTCCTTTGATCATCATCTATGCTCCATTCATTTTGAAGTAACGCCTTCTGCTGTGAAAACACAGAGGGTCGGCAATGGCAGCCATTCCGCAAAGGCCTAGTATTATTTATCAATAAATACTTGGCTTTCTCTGATTAGACAAGAGGTGGTGACATCACCACACTGACCCTCAGTCCAATAAGAGAATGCCTAGTATTCATTGGCTACTACTAGTGTATTACACGATCTCTGTGGCCCTACCATTTATAGAATATGCATACTTTTATTGGGTCAAGCTGGACTTCTGTAAGTATACATAAATCTTTATAGCTGCATAGCTGGAGTTCAGCCTTCAAGCTCTTTTCTTGCCTGGTAAGGCTATGTAAATGATTTAAAATGTATCTATAGTTAAATCTTTATTTCTTTTTTGTTGTTAAATAGATTGGCAAATAATTCCTGTCTGGTTTTACTGTCATCAGAGGCTCTGCTGTGGAGATTACTTCCTGTTTGGTAATAAGTAAACAGCAACACAGACAGAGGTGTCTAAAAATATATATTTTTTAAGTTAGTTTTTAAGTAGGGGAATGATAGAACCCCCTGTCAACCTTTTATTGTATTCTGCTGCACTGGTAAAACATGGAACCCAGAACAGAAAGTAAGGTTATCTCTATAACAGAGCCCTGCGTAGCAGTAAAACCTGACAGGTGTTCTAAACTCCCCGATAATATGCAAAACTAAAAAAAATGTTTTGAGCATGAATACACTTTAATGCCCATAGTGTGGGCACAGGTGCACTTTAACTTTACATAACCAGTACTTTTCACTTTTAGTTGCACTTCATGATATCAGAGTAAACATGAAAGGAAGCCATTGGTCCACACCTTGGTAAAGCATAAGACACTTCTCCCAGTCAAACAGCTCCTATGATTTCCTGAAGAAAGCAGGCAGACCCCAGTCACTGCAATAGAGAGGTTGCCACAGGACATACCATTTTCTACCTGTATTCAGGTCTAATATTGGTGCTTACCTATTGCTACACCAATATTCTAGTTTCAAAAGCAAAGCTTATATCCAGGGCACTCCCAGCTTAACTATACTTCTTTATTGCAACTTCAAACAAGGCTGAAAACAGTAAAAATTCATGGAACGACTTTTTCACATGCAAACTTTCTCATCTGACTGCCTTGGGAGAGCATACAGCCTGCACGTGAAATGGTCCTTTGCCATATCTTAACTATTTTTAGCCTTATTTGAAACAGTTGTAAAAATGTATGGTTAATTTCAACATAGGGGTTCCCTTGATAAAATCTATAGTATACACATAGATAATTATGTGACCGAATTGCATACTATGCTACACTTTGTGCAAGGTTCTGACTTGCTAATTGTTTGTCATGGGGGTTCTGTGAGGGAAGCGGTGCTGCTGTAAATTTCAAAGTTTTTCTTTATGTAACTTGTTCAAAATGTTAATAAAAAAATTATCTGATTGAAAAAAAAAATTATGGTTAAGCCAAGTGTGTCCCGGATATAATTTTTGCTTTTAAAAGCTTGCAGAAAGTATGGAGTTTAAGTGAGATCTGTTATTGATCAGCTTAAAGAAGTGACACTAAACTCAGGAGTTAAATCTTATAAAAGCATTTAAGTACCTTAACTATTAACAAAAATGTATGTTATTTGTGTATCACTCGGCTGTAGATCCTCAAATCATCTCTGAATTGGTGCTGACACCGTCCTTCCTTCTGGAGGGTGGCTACTTTTGTTCCCCATGGTCCCTGTGTGTGTTATAAAGTAGCAATCGCTCCAAGCTCACTCCATGATGGACTTCAATCTCAATACAAGTTAGTAAACTAAACATGAGATTGAAGTCCATCATGGGAGTGAGCTTGGAGCGGTGGCTGCTTTACAACACTCACAGGGGACCAGGGGGAACAAAAGTAGCCACCCTCCAGAAGGAAGGACAGTGTAAGCACCAATTCAGAGATGATTTGAGGATCTACAACCAATTGATACACACATAAGCTACATTTTTGTTAATAGTTAAGGTACTTGAATGTACTTTGAAGATTTAACTCCTGAGTTTAGTGTCACTTTAAAACAGTTGCCCCCAGACAAGTGTCCCCAGACAAGTGAAAAATAGAGGGGAAATCTCTGGTAAGAGGTGACATGACAGGACAAATAGGGAAAGTGACTCCCTATGGAGGAGACACAGACAGCAATCAAAACCTGACAGGTTCTAAGCCCTCACTAATCTATACTTAACTAACAACGACAATAAGGCTTTAGATACACTTTAACAATAATTACCATTTTTTTTAAAGGTAATATAAGTCTATAAATACAGATGCAACATATGAATATAAATATATATATAGATGCACCATATTAATACAACTGTACCTACCGTTCCGCTTAAGGAAATGTAATGCATCCTTGTATCCCTGCTTACACATATCTTTAAGCACCTATAAAAGGCAAAAGAAAAGGAAATATTACACACTAAATAAAGGAATGCATCTGCACAATGATAAATGACTATAAAATCTTTGTGAATATCAGCACCTACAATCAAATGCTTGGTTCTATGATTGATGCGTTCATTATAAAACTTTCTTTAGCTGTCTGCAGGCCCTTATGCCCATGATGAGAGGTTGTAGGTTGCTAAATTGATGCTGGTACTTAGTTCTTGCCTGTAGTTTTATAAAGACTCTTCTAGGACTTACATTTGATAAATATCAGTGATATCCGACTAGGTCAATTTAGTCTATCTTACTTAACTGCAATTGTTTCTGCAGCTGCGGAACGCACAGTGTAATGTCTTGTTGGCACACTGTATCTTCTGCTTCTCGCAACTGTCAAAAGCAGGAGATAAAATGGGGAAGATTTACAAAGAGCCGTCCAGGGAGTGTCTGTGTAAAACATGTACAATTTGCCTAATTATGAACAACATTTAGTTTAATAGGCAATTGCTACTGGAGACAAGGGGCATGGGAGAAAACGAACAAATAGTAAGTTTTCTGTGACAGCTAAATAAAGAAGTCACCAGCACTCGGTAATATGTGCAAGAAGTATAAGCACTTTTATTTAACTGTAACATGTGTCATTAGGCCAATGTTTCGGGGCCACCCAGGTTGCCTTCTTCCGGGCCAACATAGTGACTCGTCACAATGTCGCCCCTGAAGAAAGGAGCCTGCGTGACCCTGAAATGTTGGCTTAATGATGCATGTGACGGTTCAATAAAAGTGCTTATAATTCTTGAACATATTATCGAGTGCTGGTGACTTCTTTTACTGACTGAATCTTACACAGCGCCATTCTTTGTTGTCACTCCAGCACCAAACTTCTGTATTTGAAGGTCTACATGCGGAGTCCAATCCATTCTCTGATACTTGCTCAATAACAAACATGCATGACTTTGTAAATCTAGCTGCTCTGGCATGTGTGCAACTCTGTTGCTTCTCATGCTTAAACAAGCCATACACGGCTCACGTTTCCGCTGAATCAGACAAAGTTCGAACTATAGGGGACCCTGTTGGCATCAACAAAATGTAATTTCAAAATTGAAGAAGCCTTGGGTGCTGGCAGCTGTCTGAATGCAATAGCCGGCAGTGCAGATTCCTATATATATATATACACACACACACACATACTCTGTATGTGTGTATTTTTTGTATGCACTGACTGTGATAGTATATATTGTCTGTGTGCTTTTCACAAAGAAAAGTAGAAGGAATAGGTTGACTGGGTTTGTGCCACATAACTTTGTGTGATAGTGTGTACCGTGTGTGTTTGTATTTGGCACGGGGATATAATATGAAAGGCATGGGTAACAAAGGATGCACAAAAGCACAATTACACTGTATGGAGTACAGTGATGGCACCTGGGCACAAAAATGACTTCTAGAATGGCAGTGGGGAGTATGCTGATATTCATTGTGCGAAACTACATTTTATGACCATGAAAAGAGAGAACGAGACACTAAAAGTAAATTATGACACTCCTCATTCAATTCACAAACATAATTTGTTGACTTATTGCCACTACAAAATACTAGTAATGAATATTTACAATTTAAACAGACCCAAATTCCTATCTATGCAAAGTGAATATAGATCTGCAACATGTAGAGGAAAACAAAATAAGCCCCATTCCCTGCATTAAAACGTCGGACAGAATTGATGTATATTACTTCATATTAATTAAACTGGAATTGTACTGATTTCTTTTAGCACATCAGTCTTGTTTTTTTGCCAGCACAAAGTCTAACTTAATTTAGCTACATACCCATAAACAAGACCGCATATATGCACCTATGTGCGTATAGTTCATTAACATTTCTATTACGAATGATGCATTGCGGGATTGCAAATAGTGCACACATATACGCACATACGCTTGTATATACGCGCATTATACGCGTGTATATGCACGCATATATACGCAATATCCAATTTTGCTCTTGCGTTGTGTGTGAATGAGGCCTTACTGACACTTTTACAACATGTGCAAAGTCCAATAGAATATACCTAGTAATAAGGGAAAAGGACTTGGTCACGCAGATATATACCAGTAGTATGTATGATATTGTGTTTAATTAGCTATAGCTATCACCAGGTTATAGTTTGACTAATATATTCAAAAGAATGTATACATATTTGCATAACTAGTAAATAAGGCTTTTTGTATGTTGTATTTTTTATAGTGTAATATTTTATAGACTTTGGTGGAAGATGAATAAGTCGGTTTTGTGGACTGTACAATTTTCATGTCACGTAAGGCTGGGTTCACACTTGGGCGTTCGTAATATGCGTGTTTGACGCGCGTTTCGGGCTGCGCATTTTTACCGTGATTTGCGGTCAACGAAACGCGCGACAGACGCGCGTTTACTAGGGCTATCCAGCTGTATCCTAATGGATACACGTGGAAAATACGCCCCAAAGAAGCTCCTGTACTTCTTTGGGTGTAGGGCGTTTTTCAGCGCCTTCCTACGAGCTGAAATACGCCCAGGTGGGAACCATGCCCATAGGAAATAATGGGATTTCACTTGTTGGGCGTTTTAAAGCGCGTAGATCAGTGCTGTAAAACGCCCAGGTGGGAACCAGGCCTTAGTGTCTCTTGAACCTTTAGTGACCACACCACATAGTAGCAGAGCAAGGCAAGTTATTTATTAACCCACTCTGTTATCCATTTTCTGGATGAAGAATAGGTAGTATTTACAAAATGTAAATTGATTTGTATACCACTAGATGGTGATGAAGAGCAAACAAGGATTTGGAGAAAGGTCCGGGTGTTACATTAAAAAGGGTGATCATATGATACATACAGTAGAGTAAACAATTTATGATATCTACAAATCATGTTTATCCTGAGACACAACACCTTAAAGCTTATTTCTGGGAGCTACCCCTGAATTGCAAGGGTACACTGATCATTTATTTCTAAGGAACAGGTGTAAAGCAGTTTTACTTACCTGATCCTCACTCCCACAGGCTCCAAGATTGGAACCTGCAGCCTCTTTCCCTTACAGTGGAGCTATCCCTGAATTGTAAGGGTACACTCATCATTTATGTATACGGAACAGGTGTAAAGCAGTTTATTTACCTGATCCTTGCTCCCGCAAGCTCCAACATTGCCACCTACAACCTTCCCCCTTGCACTCCGGTGGTCAGAGGCCCGCTGACACCATCATGTCTCATGAAGGGTCCATAGCCCTGCATTATATGTAAGGATGCCGAGGGACAGTCCAACAAACCAAAGCAGAGCGGAGATAAGGCAAGTTAAACTGCTTTACCCAATACACTAGTCCTAAACAAGTTAGGGTCTAAGTTTGGCTTACTTAATATACTAGTAATACAAATATTTTTCTTTTTGATGGGTGTTTACAAACTACACTCATTAATGAGGACCTGTACTGTGGAAGTGATGCCCAAAAAGGCAAGCAGGGGGCAAGGGGCTAGCCACCAGTATTGCCTGCAGGCTCCCTGGAACATATATTTTCCCCATTACTGACTTATCACGCCTTGCTTTGTGCAGTGTCTCAGTGTGGAGGTGATCAGTTTGGTAGAGGTAGTGCTTTGCCTCCTCATGTCAGAGCTGCCCTCCTGACAATTGGTGATGTGAAGACTGGTGGGGGGGGATGATCAAGAAGCTGCAGGAGAGGTTCAGGAAGTCCAGATTCACAGGAGGAATGCAGCAGAAGCAGGGAGCTCCTTCGCCTGCAAATCTTAAGTACAATATTCTCTTCATCAAGAACAGTGAGCACCACTAAATCTTACTCTAAAGCTTGTGAGACTGGCAGTCACATGCAACAATGCTGATCTTACACTACAGATACAGTACACATCTTTGAGGTTCAAGGTATGGTAGGTGCAGTAATTATACAATTATGCATACATTAGGTGCCAATTTACCTGGGGCTCTGGAGGAAAGAGGGCTTTTGACAGTCGGTACAAGTTACTGAGGTTAAACTGTATGCTGGTGTTGGTGACTCTGAGTTCATGAATGTTGGTGCAGCCATCACGGGGACAAATGTCACTTTCGCCTGAGAATGGTGAGACGGTGATCGTATTCTTCAGTTCATACTGAGGCAGATTATCAGTTATACCTCCATCCACATATCTCTGAAAAGAGAATCCAGGGAAAAATTGAATTTGCAAGTAGCACAGGACTAAGGATATGTACAGATAAGTTAATGTATAAACACAATTAATGTATGACCACCATGGAGATTTGTATGGATTTTAAAAAGGGATTTCCTCCTCATAGTAAAAGAGAACCTCTACATTGGTCAACTCTGTTTACCAACTTAGAGAGGTCCTAACCCTCTAAGTCAATAGTGCAACCCTCAGTGGATGGAATCAGCTCCTTCAGACATACAGTAATAATGGTCACAAAGCTCAGTCAAATCTAAATGGAGAGGCTCTGACATCATCACTGCAGGTACCACCTTAAACTGCTGATCTTGCACCTTAAAGAATGAGCGGACCTCCTAGCAGTGGGTAAAGAGAGACACTGCCATGTAGCGATACACAATTGGGGTTTCCTTTTATTACAAAATGAAAAAAAAAATCCCTCAACATAAATTATGATTTGTAAAACCTAGACTGGATTACGCCAATTCATGATACAGAAGGATCATTCTACAGCTGCTAAGCATCATTTGACCTGTCTGGAGGCTCAGTTGGTTAGATTCTGCATATCTTGGCCAATGACTATGAGCATGGCTGGGCCTTACCTACTGCAGCTGCTAAGTGATGCCAAAAAAAATCTCTTTTCATGTGACAATAATTCAGACTGACAATAGTGACGAATGAGGCTTAGCAACCCTGAATTCACTTGTCACATTCCATTTTATCACTGTTGCAAGCAAGCATAAAAAATGTAGTAGATAAGTGCATGTCATAGTGACAATGATCATATTTTGCAATCACGCAGAAATGTCAGTGATTACATGGCTTTTAGCGGTCAAACTAATAGGTGGTATTTTCCAATAAATAGATACAGACATAATGCAATCTAATACAAGATACAGAGTTCGGTTTACTTACTACTCCTTGCAGGCATGGAGGGATGAGTCCACAATAGACAGGTATAAAGGTACTGCATACACAGGCCTGAAAGACAAGAATATTGTGTTACAGGACTCAAAAAGCTTAGCATAATTGGCTAAAAATGTCCCCTAGTGTAGCTTCTATTTGACTACTGTATATGTCTGTAGCTAACTATTCATAAAGCTGGTATGAGCTTTCATACAGCTGAGGAAAGTAAGTTGCTTAATGGGAAATTATCTGAATGCCAAGGGATCTTATTTTAACCCTGATCCACATACACAATTATACATGAACCTGTCAGCCTGCAGTCCTGGGATCCCCACTGTGCTAGCAATGAAATACAGTTAGGAATCCAATCAATAATTCCATCTCAGCAAGTAGACATAAATATAGCCCAACTTCAATGTCCTAATATTTCTATACTCTTCATACAACCAGAATACTGTCAACAAAAAATATATGAATCCAGTATAGACTACAGTACTACACTATCTATACTTTGTAGTCAACAGGTACACTTTAGCCAGAATGCATGTACTCGGATCAACCTCTTTTTAAGGTAAACCAATGCATTTACATAACATGCTAAAAGTAGGTGCCACAAAGAGCCTAAACATATCTTCTTTCTTCTAGCCTTCTCCTAAAGCCCAAGATGCAAATAGTGATTTTAGGTCCAAGCCATAGTATAGACCAATTCCCTCTCCCCTGCATCCAACACTGTGTTGTGCCCTTCTTACTATCCTGTGGCATGTGCAATTCAGTGTGGTGTGCAGGATAGAGAGTGTGCCAGGGCTCTAATTTAAGACTGAAGTTGCTATATGCCAACTGACCATGCAAAAAAACTTGAGTTGCCCACCTCTAGCCTGTTTTCCCTAACTGCAAATTTACATTCATCCTTTTCCCCTTGGTGCCTGGCACATCACAGTTACACTTACCTGTATAAGTTCTTCCTTGGTGTTGAACTGTGTAAGAAGCACATTCTCTCCATCAGAGACACGGGTCAGAGATATTCCCAGCCGCCCAGTAGCACTTTCATGTGCATCATCCGGTAATGTCTTGTATAGGCAGTTCCGAATTATCTTCACCAGATTAAACGATGGGTGTAGAGGTCCCAGAAACCTTTTTCTGGCTTCCTTAGAGACATCAATAATGTTTGCACCAGCTTCCCCTAAAAATAAATAGCTCATGTTAGGAGTGAGTGGCTAACAAAAATGCATATGTAACAAAACGTTAGGAAAAAAAAATTCAGTGACCCTAATCTGGTCAAGGGTAGTGCATTGGATATCATCATACAGTATGACCCAATTAGGCATCACACTGCTTTCACAAACTATGAACTATATACTTCTTATATTTTCATTAATTCTTCCCTTTAAAGTCGTCATACAGTGTGTCTATAAGCCAAGCAGAGCCATAATAACCTACTGGCTTGCAATCCAAATTCTGTGTAGAGCAGACTCTTATCTCATTTGAAATATATCCAAAAGCCCCATCTAAACCTCGAATAAAAAACAAAAGTATAATTTTTCTAAAACGTTCAAAATACAAAAATGAATTGTGTATTTTTAATGCGGGGTGGACAATTAAATATGGAATTCAGGAGTCAGTCTGTCCAATTCAGGAGCCAACAGGACTTTTTAAGAGCCAGCTCCATTGACAATTAAACCATAAGTTAGGTGCCAGCTGTAATATTTCAGGAGCATTGGTGACCTGGCTCCTGGGATTTGTCCAGCCCTGGTTTAATGTAACCCATATAAAAGGAACTGTACATAAAAGGCCTCAGAAATGCCCAAACTGCTGATAAATTAATAGAAAATAATATAAATAGAAGGGTAAATGTTGCTTCAGTTGTTATATAAAAAGGTAATGCAAGTTGTGAAATGAGGGGGGATATTAGGTATGAGAGGAACCATTCATTTGTTGGCCCAGTAGCAGTTAAACATCTGTTGACTCCTTTAGCTATGCACAAGGGCCCAAACCTAATAGCCCCTCTCATTTATTTACTATGTGCTTATTTTATATTGTACAAAGATACAGAATAAAAAAGCATTCTTCTTTCCCTCACAATTTTTTTCAGCCTGGTTATCATATGGCGGTGAGTTATGGACTTTTTCTTGTATTCGGCTCTGTTCCGGGATCCCTTGACTTTAATGACTGTAATATGTGGTATGCTGACACAACAGAGTACAGATTATAAAAACTTGCGTGTTGTAAAGACTTATGTGACACTGAAAAAAACAGAGGACACTTGTCCCTGGAAAACCTTGTGACATTATACAACATGCCAGGGCTTGTTTATAGCAGTCTAAGCTAAAGGCCAGCAATGCTCCATAGCCTTAACTGTACTACGCTCATCCCTCGTGTAACCAAAGTCTGTTATATATAAAGACTATTACCAGTTTGTTTACGTGTCATATATTCCGTGTCGTGTATCACCAGCACATGATTCTTTTGGATCATACATTCTAGAAACAAGCTGGCTTGTGGCATGCCATTTTTGAACCATTAGCTGCTATGGAACGTATGCAGACAATAAGATTTGTGACTCAATGTACAAATATTTAATGTAGTTCTTAAAAAGTGAGACCAAAAAGGTACAAACTGTACTCTTATTAGAGTAAAGATATGCATGTCACCAAATTTGTCAAAAGGGGAAAGACTTGCTTCTTTTTGCCAAAAATGGCAGCTCACTCAGACTGGGTGTCCCTGTTTAGATGTGGCTTGGAATAGATCACTGTCCCTGGACGCACCTATCCCATGTCCAATAATATCCTCCATTCCAAGCCACTTGTAATCTTATCATGTATCATGATTAGATGCGGACTGTTGCTTACAGTTGTGGCTGCTATCACCTGGTCATTAATTTCAAAGGGTACAGCAGCCGCATCTATACAGGGACACCTGGCATTCATGCTGCAGGTATCCGTAGGTTCCTGCCGCCGGGGTGCCAGAATGCCCAGTGTGAACAAGGTCTTCGTATTTCAAAATCTTTAGAGGTAATATTGCATAGGATAAACCAGCATAATCTTGCCAACAGTGATGAGCCCCTGAAATGATCTCTAAATGTCTGCAGCTATACATTCTACGTGGTACAGACTATGAGTGTCCTGTTTTATTACCCAGTCAATGATAATATGCAATAAATAAAATGTATATACAATAGCAATGTATCAGGGAGTTCTCGACTTTGGCAATCTTGCCAACCTAGTCTCTATGAAGTCTTTGTAAAAACCTCTAAAAAAGACATAGCCCATACATCAATGTCAAATGACAGATCTGGAGTTAACATTTGTTAGTTGTTAGGACTTGAATACAGCTTTGGCATGCCCAGTCATCTGAGTTTGTATCAGGGTACTGGCGGAGCTCCATGTGTGTATAGAGGGCAGGCAGTGATCCAGGACTAGCCCCTGTGACAGCTTATCACAGTACGAAGGTTAGGAAGCAGAGCCGAGGATTAGGGATTATGATCCTTTGGAAAAATCTTTTAATGTCAGATGTACATAATACACACTTTATGCCTTCAGTCAGAACAGCAGCAATACGATCAATGTATATTAATAGGCAGCATTTCTGTATAGTACGTCTTATTCTCTAAGAGGCAAATGATCTCAAAACTCTGCATAATGTTTACACCAGAAGAAGATGGATGTGTGACACACACCAGTAAAGCAAGCAATTGTGTCTTTACTGCCTGAGAATTCCAATGACACTACATAGAACAAGTATTTTTAATCCTGTTGACAGTTTATGTACTTCTGACAATAATGAGTAATACATGTATTAACCCCAACAGTAAGATCTCCCTGACATAGTTTCCAACTCTGTTCCCATGTTTTGGTGTTCCCACCCATCTTTGCATGTTCCAGTGCCTTCAGTTGCATTCTCCTTACCGTAAAAAAAATACAAAATCCAATAGGGGGGTAAGACCCCTCGTAATGACCACATCAAGTGTACTGACCCTGGAACTCAAGCATGGGAGTTTCACCAATAGAAATGCCAAGAGCTATAAGAAACTATCAGTTGGTTTAACACTGCATCTCACCACAGGCGGTGTCATGCACTGATTCCTGTTGCTGTATAGTAGTGCTTTAGCCAATCACCTTCCCATTGGCCAATGAAACCACCTATTAAATTTAGTACCCAATAGAAAAGTGCAAGGGGTAGGTACTACCCCCTTATGTAAGATACACATAAAAAAAAGTTTCCTGCATTAAGGGGCTTGTTGGACCATCTGGAAAAAAAGATCATGTGTGCATGTACCTGGAGGTTGGCAGTCTTGGACCAGTTTTTGATCATACAGAGTTGTACAGGTATACTTTAATCTGAGTTTCCAGAGAAAATCACTAGCTCAAATGAGACTATAACACACTGGATTCTCCCCATTATTGAGAGTTTCAGTTTAGGACACAATTAAGCATGGAGTACTTATCAAACAATATAGATATACTTATCCCAATATCATTTACAGAATCTTATATATGGCTGGTGTAGCCAGTGCATTTTACAAAGTTCTATTGGTTACATAAATATGTAAAAACACACTCGGGAGAATGCAGTGCGCTTGCTTTCTGAGGCTAGGTTTCGATCTGAGCGATCCCAGGGCCGCACGCTGTGTGATTCACACAGCGATTGCCTCGTGGCCACATTGATTTCAATGGGGTTACATCCACGCTGCGATCGCTAAAAAAGGTACAAGTACCTTTTTTTGCAACACACAACGCGCGTGTTCAATTGCACGGGCTTAATCGCGGCAGGAAACTGTGCGATCCACCCGGCGAGACCGGGGTGCCAGTAGAAAATAATGGCATTGCCAAGGGGCGATCGACTGTGGTGGTCACGGATCGGCCAGGTGTGAACCTAGCCTGAACATCAACACAGTCATATAAAGCACAGTGTAAACACTGCAGATAGATAATGCACTAAACTTAAGTCCCTTCTAGTGTAAAGGTTCCCATTCTATGTGATAGATTACACTCCATAAACATTACTAGGAAACAGAGTTCTTGGAAAGTCCCTGCTCCTTCTGGCTGCAAGCCAAGACTTGATACTGTATATAAACATGCAGCAAAGCTAGCAGCCTTGCCATAACCAGCCTGTACTATACAATGTATCTACATATCTGAATGAAATGTCCAAAACACAATATTTTCCCAAATCCGATGACATTTTTATACTGACCAAATACAGAAAAGAGTTGGTTTTCACAAAAAATGTTTAGTCTGACCACAAGTGAGTGTCCTATGGTTTACAAAATGTTAATATACTGAAATAAGGCAGATTACACCGTTTTACATTAGATAAGATTACTGCAGACCATACAGACCATATATTAATATACAGTATATCTGAATATAGCAAAATATAGATTGTACCTTGATTAATGCAGATCAGCAAACCATATATTTATATATACTATATCCAGTGTATATATATATATATATATATATATATATATTTACACACATTTATAGTCCTATACCGATACATTATTATGCATTTGTGAGACTATGAATGAATGAGATCATAGCAATCAAATTATTTTTCATTGTTTTGATGAATCAAACTCTTGACATAGTCCTAATCATCAACTACCAATGCCTGGCAATTAATTTGCTACATCCTGATCAAAGGACTTCTGTAATTCATCATGTTTATTTAACCTGCTCTGAGCTGTGATAGGTGCACAGAGCTTGATTTACATGGAAGCTCACCCAACAAAAGAAAAATATATACTATTATGTAGCATACTCTACATACTGTATTTTTACAGGCACTATAAATAATATATTTAAGTGCACCTGTCATTTAGATTGAAGTATTATACTGCAGAGGTGAAGGGTAGGGGAGGATAGGTGTTGCAGGTTCCATTGGCCAATCCATGGTGGTGAGTCTAGAGTCAGGTACCATAACGTTCTGAAAAGCTGACCCCCTGTCAAGACACATACCCGGTTATTACCCCCATTGCAAAAAGGAGCAAGATAACTATGTTCTCTGACTAAAAGCTAATGTCACTTCTCAACTACTCAATTACAAAATATCAGGAAATGGTAATGAATCAGATCAGCATAATTCCTTGTAAAATGGTTCCATTATGATTCTCAGCTGAGGGGCCTGATCCAGATTTGTGCCCCTCTTAGCAGATAATAGGGTAAAGCCACTTAAACAAAG